GATTGCCATGACGGAAATAACATGGAAAGGGTATTCGGACGAGATTTCGGCTCTTGCAATTGCTCAGAGAGTTGACTAATTTAAGTCAGAACTGTACAGAACTGCCTTTTACTGCCGCTATGGGTCACAGCAAGTCGTTTGAACTTCCTACACGGGTTCCCTCGTGATCTGCGCAGCCTTTACAATGCCGATGAAACTCGTCCGAGGATAATCACGAGCCAATCTTCAGCCTTTACAACGCCCTAATTAGGCCGTTTTCCGACATGATAATGCCAGATATGGTATAGAAAGGGGCTTAGAGTGCATCCTTTGGGGAAACCCAGGAAACCATTTTTACCGTGAAGTGCACCTTTAATGACTCGGGCTTTTTATTCCCTTTCTCAACCTCTTAACTCTTTTGCTGGAACTTGTGACTCGGAAACGCCTGCATGGCTGTTGGAGCTCGCGCTTCATTTGATATATACGGAGTCACATTAGTGCTCACAAATGATGAACCTTTCTGGACTCTTCTCGCTCCTCAATACCGGCACACCTCCACATTTATACAGGGTGTCCCAAGACTATGTTCGCCAATTCATAGCAATACATTTGAAGCTTCCCAACTGCGGAAGATGATGAGATTTCTATGCACTTTAGCTAATACCATTTGCTACAACACAGTACAATCATACCTCATGATACCCCCATTAGCGCGGATAGAGGTCCAAAGTTTGCTCTCGACCTGATCGCAGGTGGCACGCAGGTATCCTTCTCCATTGCTTCCCAGCTGCTCTTCATTTCTTGCTTTCTAGGACTCTAAACTAGGACTGCAAACTCGACAGGTCTTCTTCTAATCAGGGACCATAGGGAGAAGTCAAGTGTTTGAAGTTCTGGAAAATAGGATGGCCATTACATTTACCGATGAAATCGGGCAGCTGTCGTCGACAGCACTCGCGGGCAGACTTGGCTTTGTAGGCTGGAGTTGAAATGTTTCTTGGAACGTAATCGGATCAGTGTTCTATTATGCCCATCAGCACGCTCTTTCAGTACTGGTCTTGGTCAATTTTCACGCCGGCACCAGAAAACTACGAGCGTCTCACCCTTGCCAGTGACTTCTTTGAAAAACGTCATTTTACTGTTCCTAGTTTTAATGTAAAAAATTTTTTGGCTAGAGAAAACGATAAAGGGTTGCGTGTCATCACTCAAGTGGGTCTGCGACTTGGTCCCACAGTGTCTGTTGGGATCGTAATTAAAGCGAAATTTCTGCATACGATAAGAATGGCAGTGAAGCTCCTGCATGACTTTCTTCCATTGCGATAACTTCAATGAGCTGTGCACGTTGACTTTCTTTTGATGAGTCGCCCATGATCCCGATCGACTGGCAGACGTACCCCTATAAAGGCACGGTTCACGATAAAAATGGTCACTGAGATCTTTCTTTAGAAACACTCAGTGGCTTCCATAGGTTGTGGAAGGGTGCCACTCACTCCCGTAATCTCAACGGTCAGGGCACAGTGGAAGCCCTATTGCTGTCTTGATTCGCTTTCCCGCCTCTCGATCGATGTCACGTTAGAAGAGTGTCTAGGCAATACAGATTGCGAATATTCGTTCTAGGACCCACACACAATCAGCTAATCGCGATGAGACGATATTTTTGTCCCATTCTTTTTTTCCTCTGTTATTCTTTTTGCTGCCGCGATCCCTTTTTTGATTTCCTACCCCAAAAGGCGGGAAAGGATCAGCCATTCCTGCTGTAACTAGGTTTTTTGTTTACTTATGCTTATAAACGGATAAATTCTCGCTTAACGTAGTCAGATATTTGCACCAGGTCCCACACGTACGCAATGATGCGCTGTGTGTAGCTCGTCCAAACGCCCCACTCTTCCTCATAATTCTGATCTCTCGTCCAGCCTCCTTTTTAACGATTTGCGAAGCCAAAGCGTGAACACCGATCCACGCAGTTCCTTCTCCTCCATTGCACTATTTCCCATCTTATCTTCCATTTTTCCATTTTCCGTCATAATCTGGGTTACCCAAAATTATCGTGAACTGTGCCTTTAATAGTCGTTTCTTGAGCAACATTAGCCTTTCTACCTTTCCTGGTTTGTCTCTGATTCAATCTTTTTTCTCTAGCGTTTGATAGCCTACTATGCGGCTACTATTAAGATGTCAAGGAATTTCATAATGCCCTTCCACCTCTCGCATGTCAACGATTGCAAGTGGCACTGAATGAGCCTCCTCCATTTAAAAGATATTGGGAGTTTCACATCAGTAACCATACTCATTGCACGGAAACCTTCATATGCAACAAAGTAATAGCAGGTAATGAGAATTTAGTAGATTATTTCTACCTTAGAAATCTCTGAAATTTGGCGCCCATAATTTTGGGACATCCTTTATATATATATATGTATATTTACGTATTTATTCATTTAGTCGTATATATAAAATATATTTAGGTCAAAATTTTAAAGGTCGCGGGCCTATGAAAAAAATTAAAATACGTATTTGATTACAGTTTCACAAATTTCCCGATTGCACTTGTCTGTTTTCGATTGTGAACACACATGTGTGTATAATAAAGTCTTATGAATTTGAAGCCCCGTCCAAAGATGCAAACTTCAATGGTCAGCGTGCGGTGCGTGTTGATTCAATACGTCTGTCTTTTCTCCTTTAGCATGCTACCTGTAAACTCCTGTCAATTTGTGTTAACGAGCACTTTATCACCTTGTTTTCAGTCGCACCGAATGTTGCGAGCTTCATTCTTACCTTCCCTCACTTTCGTAGCTGGAGACTATTTGATAGAGCGGAGTTTGTAGAGGAATCGTTTGTACCAGCTCAGGAAAGTCTTGCCCTACTTGAACCTAATATTTTGTTAATGGATCTGGATGCATCGCCTTCGACATCGATAAGATTTTCCAGCTTTCTCTTTTTCGACATTGTCGTGACCACGTAACTCAAGATCTTGTACCGAAGAGATGTCTTCGATTAGAAGAACTTTTGGGGTTAAATTTCTATTTTCTGCTCCTCTTGACTTCACTTTTTTCTCGAGGTGAGGTCACGTTCCTCGAGCATGTCAAATTGTAGTGTTTTTCGATCCCTTCAAATTGCAGTTCCAAAATATGCACTATAGTATTTCTCAAGATGTTCTGACCTTTACTCTGGGACTGTAAGCTTTGTGCATGACGTAGATCAATGTTTTGTCTTTTAGCAGTCAAAGTTGTATAGTTTTATGTTCTCGATTGACATGACATGTTGTGACATGTTTTTTTATCGTGCGCACCTATGTTTCAAACTTGGTAGCATGAGACATTCAATTTGTCCTTCCTCTCTGAGCATCTAAATCATTGTATTCATTTGTTAGCGTTCATTTTTTTCAGCAGGCAATGCTACTATTTTTCGAAAGAACTACTGTTCGAATACCACATCTGAGCTCTCGAAGGACCTTGACAGCAACCAGGGGCTGCCTGATTTTCTTCCATTACTCTCCAGTTGCTGTTTTGGGCAAAAAAGTCTCATCAGAGAGACAGTTACAACTTAAGAACTTGTGTAGTAGTTTCTTTGCATATGCTCTAACGCTTTCTTAACCGTTACCTGGTAAACTCGGGTACCGTAACCTTGTCTGGTTGACGAACTCTTCTCACTGACAATTTTTCCGCCGACTTTCTTAGCCAGAAGGAAAACTCTTTCAACGCTTCGTTTGGAATCTTCCGGAAACTGTTCCACTACATGGATTGTGCACCTTCTTCAGAATAGAGGCTTCCCCTCGACGAGGTCCGCCAATAGCGTCTCTATTGATAGAGAGAAGAGGCGTTTCCCCTCCGTGCTCTTCTACAGACCCTCTTTCTTCATGGTTTAGAGGCGCTTCTGAATCATCAACCGCTTCTGTGAACACATACATTGTCTCCGCAGGAATGCTCGCACTGTCCTCAAACGGCTTAAGCACTCCAGCCCCTTTCTGCTTGAATATGGGGATGATGGTGCTGCTCCTCCAGGCACCTGAGATTCTTCCTTCTGTGGTGACAGTGTTCAGGAACCGGGTGAGCCACTAATCCCGTGTTTTCCAAGCGTCTTCCATGCATCGACGTGGACCCCGCCCGGATCAATCGCTTCCCAGCCCTCATCTTCCCAATTGCCTTACGCACCTCAATCTAAGTCCACAGTCCGACGGGACCAGCTGAGGTATATAACAGACGCGAAGACAGTGCCCTATGCGTCGCAACACAACAGCGACCACTAATGTACGCAAAAGATCGCCCCGCCGAGACCGAAACTTGCTGAAAGGTGTAGATCAGCGATAATCAAACAGTGGCGACTGAAAGGGAAGATGCGGCCGTCGTCTCCCTCTTTCTGGTACCGTCGGTACCTGCCGAATCGATAGCCTTAGTTGTTCACTTCCAGAGCTCAACATGGCCAAGCCAAGCCTGGAAGGCGAAAGGTTGACAAGCAAGTGGCTGTAGACGGCCATTGTCAGAGAGAAAGACGTGAGACGAAAAAGCAGTACCACGCATTTCCTCCCGAAAAAACGTCTGATGACTAGCAGCGCCGTCAGCTAGCGAAGAAATAAACGAAGAAGGTTGTTCTACTGCGAAGCTAGACTGCTATGTCGATCTCAACGAGGAATTCGAGCCTTGCTATGGTGAACGGTACTTTTAGCGACTCGCAAAGACCAGCTATCATCGGACCAAGGACATAGAAAGAGTACTCCGAAAACATCTCAGCAGTCAAATTTGCTCATCCCGCCTTCCCTTGCGCTCAGCCAGTAAACGGTCCTGCTCAAAAGATAAGCGTGAAGGAGACAACTACGGCTATGAAGAGGATGAAACCGGGCAAACAACTGGTCCTGACGGCTTAGCGGCGGACTTGTAAAAATGAAGGGGCTAGAATCTCGCTTGGTGCTTGGTTGACGGAATTCTTCAGCCAGGTCGTTGCAGAGGAGAAGCTGCTTGAGAACAGGCAACAGAGCACGACGATTGCTATCTAAAAAGAGCATGAAAATTCTTGAGCGAATTGTAGACAGTCGTATCCGGTACATCGGAGAGCTGACCGCCAATCAGAGTGGTTTTGTGGCTGATTGTAGCACCGTCGATGCCATACACGCCCCTCGCTTTCTACCAGCTAAGCATCGCGAGAAACAAAGACCGATACATCCTCTAGACTCGAAGAAGGCTTTCGTTCGCTCTCCTCTTATATGGTATGCCTCACGACAGCATGAGGTATCTGAAGAATTTATCGAGTGGGTAGGCATCTTTCACTCTAGTCCAAAGAAATGAGCGCAAATAGCAGCAGGCATATCGGAGAATTTTTCCATTTTCGTTGGAGAACACCAAGCCTATGCATTACTTCCACTACCAATTGTTGTTTCATAGATACCATTACAAGAAATCTCCAGAAGCCGGCTCTATGGACGCTTCCTTATGCAGATGACGTGATGCTTACCCGCAAAGACAAAAGCGAGTCCGATCAACAGGTACAAACCTGGTCCAACCGTCTGACTGCGTTTGCACCCAGGCTAGACGTCAAAAAGGCCTGGTACTTGACCACCGATCCGAGCGAGCCAGGCTCTACCAAAGCAATGGTACTGAGCTCGCATGGACAACAACAGTCAAGTACCTTGGATCGGCAACTGCCTGTGACGGCAGCCTGGGGTTTTTGAAACGAATTCTCGCGTGGATGCAGCGTGGTTGAAGTGGCGCTCAATGACTGGCGTACTCTGCGATAAGAACATCCCTGAACGTCTCATATCCAAGATCTATAGAACCGTCATCCTGCCGGTCGCAAGTTACGTGGACCTGCGATTAAAGAAGTTGAAGCCCGTCTCAGTGAAGACCAAGATGCTAGGCTGAACAGCCGGAGTAACACAACTAGACCGTATATGTTTTGGCGTCATCACGGAGCGACCTGGTGTAGCGCCCCTTGTCGATAAAATGCGCGAAGCCGTCTCTGATGGTGCGGTCATGTTCTGCATGCGAATGATGACAGTGTCCACAGGATCGGATTGAACCTCGACGTGCCCGAAAAACGGCCTAGAGGACGTTCAGAGCAGCAGTGGCTCGATACCTTGTACGATGACCTGGAGACGGTTAACATCCATCCCGATCAAGCGTTTAATCGGAATAAGTGGCGTCAACGTATCAGAGAGCGGACCCCACCTACAAGCGGGACAGACGCTGAAGAATAAGAAGAAGAAAAAGAATATAAATGAAAGCAGAAGCAATTGCAAATAGTGTTCGCACACGCATGCAGAGCAATACAACATCAAAGAGCTGACTCCGATCATTCAATGCGCTAGTTTGATTTGTCCTTCTACAGCCAGATGCTTTTGCAGCGCATTTCTTAGGTTACAAAACTCATATCCAGCACAGGTACCTCATATTTGGGCGATCAGACCGATACGGTCTGAAGCAAATTAACTTGCTTACCAATAAATGAGAAATTCTACTACAACTGCAGCAATCACTCAACCTCCTTCTTTTTGTTCATCGAGCTCGATTATTTTTCACCCCATCGATCGATACCTCACTTATCAGATAATCATCGGAGAAGAATAAACGATATCGTCTATTCAGCTGAAACATCAACTAATAATTCCATATTGAAATAACAAATGAAGTTCTCAACAATAATCAAATCCAGTTTGTATGTATTTGGTCACATTGAACACGTTCGCAACGACTACAAAGAGAGATACTGAAAAGTTTTCTAATTACAAAAAGATTGAATTAACCGTTATTATCTACTGTTAACTTAGCTTTAGCTGAATTGGAGGCGAGGTTCCGTACTGTTAATTCAACAGAAGGTGAACCAACTACGCTTGGATGCGATATCGTCAGCGGGAGCTTCCGGATCCACTGGTTCAAGGTATCATTATTATTATCACACATATAGAGCACTTCTCTTTGTCTGTCTCTGTGTTTGTCTGCATGTCTGTTTATCTGTCTGTCTGTCTGTCTGTCTGTCTGTCTGTCTGTCTGTCTGTCTGTCTGTCTGTCTGTCTATCTGTTTACTGTCTATCAGCCGGTTTGTTTCTGTGAGTTTACCTGTCTGCGTGTATGTCAAATTGTCTTTTTGTCGGTTTGTCTGTCCGGCACAAGGACCTTCGGTACTCAAAGAAGTACATGCAGAGGTTGGCTCAAAACCATAAGGGGTGGGACAATGGGCAAGACCAACAAGGCACATGTGAGCTGGGTTGAGCTCAGTTTGAGAACAACTCAGATACCGACAAAATAGGCAGATTCAGGGAGTATGACGTGTTCGTTGATATCCCGTATATAGAACGCGCTAAAAGTGTCTGTGGGTTTGTCTGTGTTTGTGTAGTTGTGTGTGACAGGAATTTCATAACTGCGGTAACCATGAGCCTAGAGAGTTCAAATTTGGTAGGATTACAGGCAGCAGGATAGGAACACTAATGGTGGGTAACTGGGCCAAACTCCCCCCACAGGGGGCGGAGTTTGTGCGGAATAATTGTTTGAGCGGAAAGTCATAGCTTCTGTCCCCATGGACCTGAAGCGCTCAAACTTGGTAGGAGTACAGGCGGCAGCATGGGAACACTTATGGTGAGTGGCGGAGCAGGACTCCACTCACAGGGAGCGGGGTTTGTGCGGAAAATCATAAATCCAGTCCCCCTAGACCCAAAGGGTCCTAATTTGGTCGGAGTACCCCAGATAGGTTGGGAACTCTTATGGTGGGTCGCGAGACCGGACTCCACCCACATGGAGCGGGGTTTGTGCAAAAAACTCAAACTTGGACCTAGAGCGTTCAAATTTGGCAGGAGTACAGGCGGCGAGATAGCAACACTTATGGTGGGTCGCGAGACCGGACTCCACCCACATGGAGCGGAGTTTGTGCAAAAAACTCAAATTTGGAAAACTGCGCTCATATTCGATAGAAGTACAGGCGGCAGGATGGGAGCACCTATGTCGGGCGGCAGGACTCAACTCCGCTCACAGGAGGCGAGGCGTAAGCAAAAAATTTTAATGTAGACTTGAAGCGAAACTTCAAACCAAGGTAGAATAAGTCGCAAATGAAGCGGGTTACTCAAACACACAGAGCCTAAGCAATTCTGTTCGAATGATATGAATAACTCCTGTTTTCATCTTCCGAAGCCGTCAGATTTGATAAAGGCGCAGGCGGGGAGGCCATTTCGACACGAGAAGGAGGGGAACCCGGCGTCAGCCGGGCGAGCCGATTTATGCATTGCAAACTTCTTCTCGTTTTGTCCTTAATTCATAGAGGATGCTAAACACTCTTCTGGCCTGAGCACTATGATAGGGAGATTCTCTCAAAACTTTGTTGAGAATGCGAATAAAAGCATTGGAACGATCGCAACTTTCGTGCAGATGTTCGCTCAAGAAACATTCAAGGCACGGTTCACGATAAAAAAAGGTTACTGAGTTCTTCCTTTAAGAATTCTCAGCGCCCCCCCCCCATGGGTGGTAGAAGGGACCCTCTTGCTCCCACAATCTCGGCGCTTAGGGCATAGTGGAAGCCCCGTTGCTGCCGTAGCTCGCTTTCCCGCCCCTCGATCGGTGTCTCGTTAGACGGGTGTCGAGACAATACAGATTGCTATTATTCGTTCTAGAACCCACGCACAATCAGTTAATCGCCGAGTTTTTCTCCCATTCTTTTTTCCCCTGTTTTTCTTTTTGCTGCCGCGACCCCTTATTTAATTTCCCACTCCTAGAGGCTGAAAAAGGTGAGCTACTTTTGCCGTTACTAGGGTTTTTTGTTTATTTATGCTTATAAGTGAATGAATTTTTGCTCAGCATTGTCTGTTATTCGCACCAGGGCCCACACGCGCGCAGTGGAACACACTGTTTAGCTCGCCATACGTCTCACTCTTCTTCATTTTTCTGGTTTCTGTCTCGTCCAGCCTCCTTTTTAACGGTTTTTCGAAGCCTTTTTTCACTTTGAGAACACCGATGCACGCAGTTTCTTCACCTCACTCGCACTATTTTCTATCTTGTCTTCCATTTCTCATCATAATCTGGATTACCCGAAATTATCGTGAGCTGTGCCTTTAAATGACTTCGGTATAGAAGAATTCAGTTTTATTAAAATAGTGAAAAGTTCACATTGTTACAATGAACTATGTTTGATGATCTTTTGCTCAGGAAACCAACCCTCCTACCAACCCTCCTCGGGGACTAGGCCTTCAGATTCCACTGAACGGCTCTGATTTTGATTGTCTAGGAAGATGACGTGATCAACAGCAGTGAAGTTGTGGTGTGAACGGGCACAACATTGATGAGCTCTGCCATAAGTGTTAAACCTAATCAGCGCAAGAGTCGCTTCAAGTGCGGGCCTATTATAGTTTCAGTAGTAAGCTGGATGTCGCGAGGAGGTAGGCCTAGTTGGAGGGAAAGCTGTAGCCATGCTCGTATAAGTATCAGGTTAAGTCATAAGTCCTCGGACAATGTGATAGTGATGTCTTCTAGAGATCATAACTCGGGAAAGACGTGACGAAAATGGACGCGCTAGACATCGTTAGATAAGGTATTGAAGCTCTTTTGAATACATATCAAAGAATACATCTGACCGTTTTCTGCACTCGAGCGTGAGGAAAGAAAGTGCCATGTCGGCGCGGCAATCCATGTCACACTGCTTCAAAGCATGAGGCACCCATCGACCGAGCTTTCGCACCGAGCCGATTGACTTCAATCCACGAATGATTGTGGACTGACTTCCCGAAAGTGACTGCCAGTGCACGAGTAGTTCGGTACGGATCGGCTTCCACCTGGCTCCGCTGCACGTCCAAATCCAACTCCATTGAGCGTCCCGGACCGTCTTCATTTTCGATGGAATATTCGTGCGACGTGAACTTCGTGTGCCATTTGCAAATTGTGCATCTAAGAGGAGCAACCTTCTTGTGAACTTCCTTTATACGTCCATCGATCTCCGCGGGCTCTTGGCTAGATAAAAAAAGAAATAGGATGGTGTTGCGCGGTAGGAGTTGCGACGGCTTGAAATCATGGGGCATGTTTGCAGGAAAAGAAACAGTTAGATGTGTTCATTGTTATGTATTTCAAAGAGCTTTTCATACTCTATCTGACTGTGCTATGTGCTATCCGCGTCCATTTTCGTCCCCTCTTTCCCTAGTTATGACCTCTAGAAGTCATCACTACCTTTTTGTCCGAAGCCTTATGACTCAATCTAATAATTTGCTGAAACAGCGGACGACCTAACCTGAAGTAGTCGCTCTTGAGCGTATTCGTTTTGCGAACCCGCGGGATCAAGTAAGTCTTGCGGCTACAATTCGAATCCTTGACGGCACTCTATAATCTCAGAAAGTTCAGCAAACGAAGGTTGATAGAGATAGGCCTCATAGCAAGACGAATATATTTTTTAAACTGACAATAAAGTCCATCATAAGCATCGATCCGTCGAAGGAGAGAATGAATATGCTCCATCAGCTCCCGTACCTTGAAATCAATGAAATGGTTGAATTGTGGTGCACAATGTTTGAAATCGTTGGTGCTGCATGGAGAGCCGACTTGACCTGAGCCTGGACACTTTGAAGTTGGTACCTCACGATTACAGACGGTTACCGTGACGAAGTTGATGCGTTTGCCATGCAATCAAATTCTGCTCCTAAAATTGATAACAGCTAGAGCCATGATCATACAATGTATTTATAAGTTAAAGCTTGAGAGTGGTTTGGCCTTGCAATATTTGGTAGAGTGACTAGGACGTGAAGGCTATGTTAGTCACCAGCTTGCGAGCATCTTACATCAGAGTACTGCCTTACCGCATATTTTGCTACTATGGCCTGATTTACTAGATGTAACCAAGGTAATGTGCCTAAGATCACAGTAAAATCTATCATTGAATAGAGGGGTACTCATTGCACCAGTAAGCGCTGGCAGCACACGTATTAGGATTAGTAATGCCATACTTCACTCTGCCCCGAGAATTCAGGAATCTTAAGGGCGATCAGCTTCTGCTGAAACTCAACAGTTTGCATGAATTCCTGATGTTTCAGACAATAATTTTGCCCGCCTTCTTGGACGAAAGTTATTCACTTTAGAATGGTGGCGGTCAAGTGTCGATGTTTCCAAGAGAGTGTTAGCTTCGGAGTGAGACTAGTAGTCTCAATAATAGCATGTCCTGAAAAGTAATCGTAGTCGCAATTGAAGGGCTCCACTGTGGTCTAGGAACGCTTAGTGTTGCACTATGTAGCCACACTGTGAAGTGCCTATGTAAGTCATGGGTTACGCTGTGGAACATCAGTGAGTATATCGATGGGATCTGATAGAATATTAGAACAACCTGATGTGGCATGCAGGTAGACGTCTTCGTAACCAAGAGCAGAGTATTAATATAAATCCACCAGACGTAGACAATAGGAAAAGGAAATCTTACACATACATGAATAAAAGATAAAATACTGGTGCAATTGTGCAACTCAACAGAGTTTCAGCGTTTGGTATGGGGAGCTTTTTTATTTATAATTTTTTTAAAATTTATCTGGACGTGAAAATTAGTTTTTAGGATGATATCTCTCTGTTGGCAATGTCGAAAGTTGTTTTCAACAAAGACAGGACAGCACTAAAACTGTTCTCCACGAAACTGAAGGATGAAGGGAAGTACGTATGCATTGTCGAAAACTCAGCTGGAAGGGCTGTAAAAGTAACGCAACTCTATGTGAACGGTGGGCCTTTAACGAGCCTTCAATCAATTCAACCATCTAGTGAAATGCAATCGCTCGCTTCAACTTTTTGACCAAAATTGGATTTTTCTTCAGATTGCACAGAAACGTGGACAAGAAAGAACTCCGAACAGTAAAGCTCCACCCCGAGCTGAAATATGCATAAGTCATCGAAACTTCTAAACCATCATTTGCAAAGAGTCAAAAGATGTTGCAGAAGAAATTGTTATCAATTGTCTTTGCTCTGATTCTCCCACTCAATAAAATTTCACGACTGCATAACTTGTTTTCAACATGTGTTAGTGAATTATGAGAAACGCTGAGCTTAAGTAGCCGGACATACAAAATTTTGAAGTTTTGATAAGTACGTCTTGACGCATGAAGGATGTGAGTACCGAAATATGATAACACATAGTACAAATTATTGGAAATCGTTACATCGGGAATTTCTGTGGTGGTTCACAATTCATAGCGTGGTTTAAACCTAGGATAAAACATGGATCTTGAATTCAATAACCAGCACGTTCTTATCAAGTTATTAGTCAATAGCCCGTTCTTCTCAAGTTATTAGGATTTGATGCTTGGTTTATCAATAGCCGCCACGTTCTTCTCAAGTTGTTAGGATTTGATGCTTGCTTTAACCCTAAAACAGTGCATGGTTATTATATAGGATGGCAACTATGTTTATAGCTTTCGGAGCAACCATGATCGACTTTCGGTGGATTTTCTCATGATGAGTAAATCGATGTGTAGGTGCCCTTGTAAAGCCTCAGTCATAATGTTATAACCTTCACTATGCTTATTTCAATCCTTTCAGACTTAGCTCAAGCATACTTATAAATATGCCAGACCGATTTTGTTGTTCAAGATCAACTTTTTTTCAACATCGATTTTATTGCTTTCCCTTTTAACATCTGTGGTACCTTTCTGTAGATCACCTTTGGGACGGCTTATCACCAAATTTTCAGAGAAGGTGACTTTTGCCTTTCCTCCGTGTCAAACTCCATCATTTTTGACATGAGAACGGCTTTGCGCAAGTGTGGCCTTGAAGACATGGTGCCGGTGTTTGAGGTTCCTCCCACAAATCATAAAGGTGAGCTTGCTCGAAACCATTTGTATGCCCGTCTATGCACTGATCCACACTGTGTCATCTTTCCCAACGGGCGGCAGAGTCGAGGAACATCTGGCTGGCTCAAAGCGAGCGAGGTCTGAAACCCCTGTGAGAGTCCATAGAAGGCAATGCCGCGAGCCCGAAGGTAGAATTTGTGCTGTCAATTATAATTCTGGTGCGTTAGCCTACGATCAATGCGCGAGAAACTTTGACATTATTCTGGATTGGTGCAAAAACCCCAAAATAAATCGGATAGGCGAATGTTTAGCTATAATAAGTAAGCACATCTCGTTTTTTGAGATGAGACAATTGCCACCGGCTTAAGTTGGGGATCAGCTCATCTGAATATCGCCTACTGTGAAAACTTATAAATACGTAGTTTGAGAGGCGACGCACAGGTCTTCTCCTCATTACTCGATTTGGATTTCCAGTTGTAGGTTAGGAGATCTTTCCTATATATAAGCTATACTAGAGCTAAGCTAGGCCTTGAAATGGTGTTTGACAAGTACGAATTTCGAATACCTTAAGTTTCTATGCTCTGACGAAGGCGACCGGCCGGAAGCCAGACGAATTAAAAGTTATAACATCTAAATTAACGCTTATCAAAGCCTAAGCTACACATCGAGATATGTAGTTCCATGTTTATCTGAATAGCTAGTCTGTATGTCTGAAAGGATCAACAGACGCTAGATGGGAACTGAGACTTTCAACGCCTGCTGCGTTGATTTCTGACTATAATTCAACAATACATAACAGTGCAAACTCAGGCTTAACGCATGCAGCTCTATGCAAATTTCGTATGGCTTGAATTAGAACCAGAGCACTCGGCTACCAGGGCAATGAACTTCGACGCTCATCCTGACGCCGCTCGTTCAACGCAAATCAACGTTGGGAAAACTGACTATGAAAAAAGGGCTACCTTCGAATATAGATCAACTAATAGAAGTAAAAAAATTACAAGAGAAAATGATACACAATTGGGGCAGGAGTCAAGACGTGTGGAGCAATAATGCAGAAAATGTGAAGCCTTATCAACATCGGTATCAAAAAATAGAATGTGAATGAAAGAAAAATAGAATGTCATCGAAACTGTGAATGAAGATAAGGTATGAAAGGCTTAACTTGGAACACGAAGAACCTCCTAAAAATGTAATAACAGTGCCGGAAAATCCAACGCTAGGTGCATTCACTCCTGATGAAGTGCTGGAGATTAGTTGACATAGTTTTTTTTTTTAAATTCTGTACAAATGTAGCGTACAAATTGCTATTCCAAGCGAGATAACAATAATTGGAGAGATTACAAAAAAGTGGTCTTCCCAGGATAACGCTCTAGTTACTGTCCCTCTGTTATTTCTTAAAGGTTTCATAGAAATAGTTGTGATTGCAAACTATCTGAAGAACTGCGGTTATTTAGTAGTAAGGATTTTGAGAAAACGTTTAGAGGCACAGTGGTCTCTTAGATAGCGCGAGTGAAGAAAAATTATGAAAAACCCAAAATCTGAGATTCCTAATCACTTTGTTTGTGGTAGAAGTTCCTGAGCAGAAGAGCCTGATTTTTCGAAGAAAAACAGAATGTCGGCTGAATTTGAATTGGAGCTCGCGTTCTGTCGCGCTTTATCCATTTTCGAAGGATAAATAAGGCTTTTCCAAGCGATATGAGTTCGGCCTATACAGACCAAAGTCCGTTCATTCTGAAGATCCGACCTATCGTATTTTTTTCGGCTTCACTCAAAATTCATAGATTCAGAGACTTTTGAACGGAGATGAAGAAGGGATTGATGATGAAGAATTAATTGTCGTTGAAGAACTAATTGGAGATGAAGAAGGATTCGGAGATGAAGAAGTTATTGTAGANAGAATTAATTGTCGTTGAAGAACTAATTGGAGATGAAGAAGGATTCGGAGATGAAGAAGTTATTGTAGACAAAAAGCAATGAAGGACTAATTGGAGATGAAGAAGGATTCGAAGATGAAGAAGGGATTGCAGAAAAAAAGCAGTTTGGGATTAAGAAGAAATTGGAGATGAAGAAGGGATTGTAGACAAAAAGCAATTCGAGATGAATGAGGATTGGAGATGAAAAGGGTACTGGAAATGAAGTAGGAATTGAAGACGAAGAAGTAATTGAGGAAGAAGGACTAACTGGAGATGAAGAAGGATTCGGAGATAAAGAAGTTATTGCAGACGAAAAGCAATTTGAGATGAAGGAGGATTGGAGATGAAGGAGGGGTTGAAGACGAAGAAGGATTTGGAGATGAAGAAGTTATTGTAGACAAAAAGCAATTCGAGATGAAGGAGGGATTGGAGATTAAGAAGGAATTGGAGGTGAAGAAGGGATTGTAGACAAAAAGCAATTCGAGATGGAAGAGGATTGGAGATGGAGGAGGAGTTGAAGATGAAGAAGGAATTGAAGACGGAGAAATAATAGAAGATGAAGGACTAACTAGAGATGAAGAAGGATTCGGAGATGAAGAAGGGATTGTAGACAAAAACAATTTGAGATGGAGGAGGGATTGGAGATTAAGAACTAACTGGAGATGAAGAATTATTCGGAGATGAAGAAGTTATTGTAGACAAAAAGCAATTTGAGATGAAG